TCCAAATTGGATGAACGCTTCGGTTTTGAAAAATGTCGTCTCCATTGAAATTGAATGTGAAAACTGCTGGCGTTTACCACCGTTTGGAGAGCTGCCTTGTCTAGAAAGTCTAAAGTTATACAACGGATCTGCGGAGGTGGAGTATATTGAAGAGGATGATGGTCATTCCACATCAAAGTTCCCATACTTGAAACGACTCGCTATAGAAAGGTTTCCAAATCTGAAAGGACTGCTGAGAAGTGAAGGAGAAGAGAAATTCTCCATGCTTGAAGAAATGGAAATTTGGCATTGCCCTATGTTTGTTTTTCCAGCATTCTCTTCTGTCATGAAATTGGATGTCTGGGGGGAAATAGATGCAGCAAGTATTAGCTCCATATCTAAGCTTACTACTCTTACGTCTCTCTCTATTGATCATAACTTTGAAGCAACTACTCTCCCAGAAGAGATGTTCAAACGCCTTGTTAATCTTGAGTCCTTGAGCATTATATACTTCAAAAAACTCAGAGAGTTGCCAAGCAGCCTAGCTAGCCTCAATTCTTTGAAGTGTCTGAAAATTCATTATTGTTACTCACTAGAGAGTCTCCCCGAACATTGACAAAGCGGTGTGAGAAGGGGATAGGAGAGGACTGGCACAAAATTGCTCACATTCCTAATGTAGATATTTGTTAGTCTTGATCTGTTATTCTTTCTGAAATTCTTCTTTTGTTAGACATTGTTCTTTATTATTAACTTAGATAATTGTATCCATTTTGCTCTATTTAACAATAGACGATCTTCAAATTTTTCCAGATTTATCAAAGTAACCTGCATTTTGTCCACTTGAACAAATGACTCCTAGTTTTTAATTAAAGAAATATGACACACATTTATGCAATTGAGGCCTGAAACAATGCTTTGAAGTGTCTGAAAATTCATTATTGTTACGTACTAGAGAGTCTCCCCATACAAGGGATGGAAGGGTTAACTTCACTCACCAACTTATACATGAGTCCTTGAGCATTATATACTTCAAAAAACTCAGAGAGTTGCCAAGCAGCCTAGCTAGCCTCAATTCTTTGAAGTGTCTGAAAATTCATTATTGTTACTCACTAGAGAGTCTCCCCGAACATTGACAAAGCGGTGTGAGAAGGGGATAGGAGAGGACTGGCACAAAATTGCTCACATTCCTAATGTAGATATTTGTTAGTCTTGATCTGTTATTCTTTCTGAAATTCTTCTTTTGTTAGACATTGTTCTTTATTATTAACTTAGATAATTGTATCCATTTTGCTCTATTAACAATAGATGATCTTCAAAATCTTCAAATTTTTCCAGATTTATCAAAGTAACCTGCATTTTGTCCACTTGAACAAATGACTCCTAATTTTTAATTAAAGAAATATGACACACATTTATGCAATTGAGACCTGAAGGAAGGAACAGCAAAAGGCACCCAATGCATATAAAGTGTCTGTTAATACTTTGTTGTATCATCTATGATGCAGCTATCATTCATTATTGCCCTATGCTTGTTTTTCTGACCCTTGCTTGTATCAAGAAATTGGAAGTATTGAGCTCCATATTTAATCTTAGCACTCTCACCTCCCTCTGTATTAGTCATAACGTCAAACAGACTTCACTCGCCGAAGAGATGTTCAAACATTCATGGATATTTCAGGTAATACTTCTATACATTACTTGTATAATTCCAACACGTTTGGCCATGAATTTTTTTCACTTTTTTCAAGAATTTTTGATAATTCAAATTACTCACAAAATAACTTCAATTTGTATTTATGATCAAGCACGTACAACTCCAATTGTCAAAGATCTTTTTCACTTTAAATTACCACCACGTACAACTCCATTCAATAAGTTGATAAAAAAACAGTGTTTTTTCAAAAACTTTCTGTGGACAGAGCTGAAAGACTATGTACCCCACAATGAAAGAGATGCCCTTGGATTGAAAAAACAAATAATTGAGAGATATGGCAGCCCCATGGGGGAATAATTGAGTTTTTAATTATTAAGCTTTGTGCTCGCTCTTACTTTTAGCTGTCCATATTTCATATTAACATCTTACTTTATAGATTTATTGCCAAGTCACAACAATTCCAGCAATCTAGATTATAGTGAATTCAACATATATGGCTGAAGCTTTCCTTCAAATTCTGTTAGACAATTTGACTTCTTTCATACAAGGGGAACTTGGATTGTTTTTTGGTTTTAAGGATGAGTTTGAAAATATTAAAAGCACGTTTACTACTATCCAAGCTGTGCTTGAAGATGCTCAGGAGAAGCAACTCAAGGACAAGCAGCTAGAAAATTGGCTACAGAAACTCAATGTTGCTGCATATGAAGTTGATGACATCTTGGATGAATGTAAAACTAAGGCAGCAAGACTCAACCAGACTAAATATGGATGTTATCATCCAGAGGTTATCACTTTCCGTCACAAGGTCGGGAAAAGGATGAAAGAGATGATGGAGAAACTAGATGCAATTGCTGCAGAATGAAGTAAGTTTCATTTGGAGAAAAGGACTATATAGAGAGAAGCTTCTAGACGAGAAACAGGTGCTCATCTTACATATATTTTAGATGAAAATATATTTAAGTAGTGTATATTCATTTTTTTTGGCAATTATCAAATTCAAGTGTGTTTTTGGGCCGAGGGAAAGTTCCAAAGACTTTTTTTCTAATCTAATGTTTGTCTAAAGTCTAAACAGAGGTGGATCCAGATTCAGATTTGTAATTCTACCATTTCCATGGTGTAAGCCAAAAGTTAATTTCTCTCTGGATGGCACACAGTTTTCTTTCATCAAAAGGAAACTTGGTGTTAGAGGATGTGGGTAATGAAGTATGGAACGAATTATTCTTGAGGTCTTTCTTCCAAGAGATTAAAGTTAAATCTGATAATGCTTATTTCAAGATGCATGATCTCATCCATGATTTGGCAACTTCTCTGTTTTCAGCAAGTGCATCAAGCAGCAATATCCGCGAAATAAATGCAAAAAGTTACACACATAAGATGTCCATTGGTTTTGCTGAAGTACTGGTGTCTTCTTACTCTCCTTCTCTCTTGAAAAGGTGTGTCTCGTTAAGGGTGCTTAATC